GCCTATATTTAATCATTTTAAATAAATTGGGGCATTTTGACTACCACCTGGGGCAATTTGAACAAAACAAAACTCCGGGGCAATTTTCCCAAATTTGCTGGGGCAATTTGTAGCGGGGGCAATTCGACTGGCAATCGGACTTTAATCTTATGTTAAAAATACCACTGACAGTAAGTTGTAACAGGGAATGATGGAGTATAAATGAATCTCGTGGGTACTTCTTCCTTCTTCAGTCAAGCTTTTGGATTTTCATACCCCATGTGTGCATGTCTCTTTCATATGCATCCGACTCCGAATGATCGGAACATTTCTCCTGCCTAAATTTGTCTCTTTACTTGGAAAACGGAAGAAATTGTGTCTCTTTCCATTGTTTGATGATTCCGTGCACCCCCAGGCAACGGAATACACCATCAGAAACAACGACAGAAACAACACGATTTGTATTACTGTAGCGCTTGTTCTTTGACAATATGGCGGACGCTTGTCACATATGACGTCACGAGCGGAAAGGTCACGTAAGTTCCAGCGGAATATGCATAATGGCAGAAGCTCAGTTAACAGAAACTGTTTGCGCGCTAAAAACATAATAAACCATACCGGTATTTTTGAAATAAAAATTGGGGTACATGTTTCTGATGACTTTATCTTTCACCCAGCAAATTATTGCAATTGCCTAGTATTCTCCTTTAAAAGCACATCCATCCAGGAATTAAAACTGACCACATATTACTGAGGGCAAGAGAAAACAAACAATCCTCAGTTTACAAGCAACTTTATGTATTCATCTTTGAGAGTATTTGACAAAACTTATAAAATTATGTATTTCCACAGTTACCATGGTTACATATAAATACTGCTTCCAGACAGTGTAACATGCCTTTATGACAGCAACCACTTGAGGTACTACATATAATACACACTATATGTACAGGTACCCAATGAGGGGACACAACACAGGTTGAAAACAGTGAAACAGATAGTCTGTGACTTGTACCCAACAACTTGATAGCAACATGTACAAAAAACAGCATAACACATAAACTTAAATAGTCAAAAACATGTATTTTCTTGTGAAATCTTGTAGACATGCAACAGTTGAAAGGACTTTGTGAATAGTAATCCAAGTTTTATGCTATCAACATGATCAACAGTTGTAGTTTCAACGTCTTAACATGATATGTAATGCCGCTTGGGTTGTATCCTTCCCAGGGAGTTCAGAATAGATCACACTGATCAGTTGAATGAGCCAATAATGAGTGAGTTTAGTTTAGTTTAGTTTAACGCCGCTTTTAGCAGTATTCTTTCAATGTCACGGCAGGGGACACCAGAAATGGGCTAGATGTCGGGGAATCGAAAATGTAATTGTCAGGTGATCTGGATTAACACTGGCCAGTAATCCAAAACAGATATTTTCATAATTCTATTGTCTGTATCCATATGTTCATTTCATATTGAGCAATGTACATAAGGAACTGGGACTGTAGCCTCGTCATAATGGCAAGGTACAAATAAACATCCTTCAAAAATTACCTTTCCATGAATGAGAGATTAGCTCCTGTTAGTGGTCTTCATTACTCATCACTTGCCACATTCAATATTTTATGTGTCATGATTATAAACTGATTCTAAAACATAATTCTAAATTTTGATTGATAATAAAGTAACTCCAGGTCATTTCAACAAAACAAAGCTTCCAGGAACCAAAATGCATGACGCCACATCCACTGCTGTCTCCTGATTGGCTGATACCAGAGTGGGTGGGGCCTATGTTGTAGCATAGAGCTGACTAATGCCGGCAGTACCAGCAGCTAGTCTTTTAGTGCTGATGATTAAAATACAGTCTGCGAATTTATTGTTCTCGACTTATTTATTAATAAGAACTGACAATCTATTTTTACTTTTATACCTCAATACATAGAGAGAATACACCAAAGTCAATTCTCAAATGATTTCCAATAAAGACCACTGGCACATAGAACAAGACCATCTGTTTCCACACAAGAATGTACACAGGGTAATAACTGTAAGCACATATATACATCACTGGTCCAAAGACTTGGGTCAGGTCATAATATGGAATACATCGATAGTCAACCATGATTTGCTTGTTATGATTTCATATTTCCTAGTGTAACTTCCGACATCATGTATGTGTAAGGACGTGAAAGAACATCTTGAGTCTCTGCTTCCTTTACTCAGGGTTACCATGGTTGTATCCATTTGTCAGCTCATCTAATCTCATTTATACATCTACATAGATTAATTGTATTAAATAAATAACAATTATTTGTATTGTAAGATTAACTATGTACAGTGAACCCTTATAAGCATTCCTAGTGAAAACATCCGAATGAAGAATTATTGGACTGGATATGGAAAAAATAGTTACAATGTTCTGCAGATATATCTTCATGTTCTCAGCAAAGTATCGAGAATACAAGGTTGGTGGACCAAACGATCTTGAATAACAAGGTGTCCCTGCACAGACTTCCCTCTGTTGGAGTGAGTATGGTTTTACGCTGCTTTTGGCAATATTCCAGCAATATCATGGGGGAACACCAGAAATGGACTTCACACACTGTACCCATGTGGTGATTCGAACCCGGGTCTTCAGCTGACACTTTAACCATCAGGCTACCCCTCAATCTGTAGGAAGTAAAGCTACGTCAATGCCTTGGTTAGTGTTGGCAATGTGTTTTGCTGAGCTTGCTATACAAGCACTAAACTGAACTGACCCTAAATACACAAAATCATATTGTAAATTACTTGTAGCCTTTTGACCAAAACAATTCATAAAACTATACTGATCAGTATCAAAACCTTATTTCAAATTTATAAACATAAAAATAATAAAAACTACACTCTATTCGACTGATACCAAATTGTCTCCATGGAGACGAATTGAGTAAATGGCAAGCATTGAATATTCAGATATATCTGAGTGGCCAAATTTAGTGAAACAAGTTGGATTTATATAGCTGAAAATGGACAGAAGGATGCCATGACTAAACACATGATCTTTTACAAACTGTAAATTATACATATAATATATGTACAGAAGTTCAATAAAATCACATTATGAAAAAATAACAACACCAACTCGTATGTACACCAAGCACTCCTTCCAAACAAAGACGTCAACATAATGAAATATTTAACATAAACATCCAACTGTAACATTTTGGGAAACAATCTGCCTCAGAATTGTTGACTCCACAAATATCAATTTTCTCCCAGTTCAGCCTCTGTGCTCTATCTGTTTTCAGTTATGGCGAAATAAATTAAACGACTTTGACAAGTATCTACAAATAGTACAAACACCTACGCCTAACTAGATAAATATTCAACCTACAATCAGCTGGCCACAATGGCTACTTCAGTTTGGCTTATGGTCTTAGCAAACACACTGTAATCTATAACACATACATGATATTTTTGGAAGTAACACAATCAAGAAAACTGGATAGGAATCATATCTGTTACATTCACAATTTCTTAAAACATGTTCTAAATTTGTTAAGGTTTGAAAAAATAAATATTTTTTTTAGATTATATTCATATAACATGTGGACAATTTTCAAATCAGCTGACCTAAACAGAGTGCCTGTATTTTATCTCATTGTTCAGGTGATAGGGCATGTCACAATACATGGTTCAACTTTTTGTCCATACGAAAAGCTTGCTCTGGCCACATATGCAGGGTTCACACTTTAAAATGTGAGTGAGTATGGTTTTACACTGCTTTTGACAATATTCCAGCAATACCATGGCAGGCGACACCAGAAATGGGCTTCACACATTGTACCCATGTAGGGAATCAAACCCAGGTCCTCAGTGTCTCATGTACACTTTAACCACTAGACTACCCCACTGTCCCCTTAAACAATGAACCAAAATCATGATGGAATGTTATATATCTTTATAATGAAACAATATCTTAACACTTCTTTACTGAGATTTGGAACAAAAAGAGATTCAAATTTTTATAAAACTAAAAATATGGCAAATGAAATACCTATTTTAAAATATGCTGCTGAACAACTTCAAACACAAATGCTGACCAATGAAAACAAAGCTGCAATCTGAAAACAACACCTGCAAAAGTAGATCCAAACCTGAGCTTAACCCCTCAAAACACCTACCATAAATGCTCGAAGAATGTTTGTGAAGCATCAAATGTATATATCTTATCCGTCTCAAATGTAATGAATAACCAGTATAAGCACAGCATAACTAAAAGCGGAACTAATAACATTACTGCTACAAAAGACTACATCTATTCTCAGGCATTCACACTACATACCAGTTTTGATACTTGCAGTGTTAACTACCCTATTTGCCATAAGTGCCCTGTCCCGATTCTACACCAAGGTGTAATCAATATTCACAAATGTCCAACTAAGACCACAAACTTCAGTATTTTCTTAGTTACTATTACAGGAAACAGCAGACTACACAAGGTTACGATCGTATTGTCAATATTTGCGAAAACAATTTTGTTTCATTTGATATTTGAAGTTTCCTCTTTAAAACTCTATCTCTGAAAATTTTTGTATTGCATTTTTAGGTGATTACCTTTGAAACTTTCATAAGTGCACACGGAACTCATTGTAGAGAATAAGGTAGTAACGACCTGCATGATAATACCCAAGGGGTGTATATTGAAACTTTGTGTACATTCAGGAGCATATATGGTAGTAACAGATAGTGAAAATGCCCACATCCAGAAGATAGTTCATTAAGTAAACCTTCCCAAAAAGCTTCACTGAACAGATTATCAAGAGTTACAGTTGAAAAACCTTTAAAGAAACATGGCTTTTACCAGTACTTGGCCATTTTTTAAACAGTGAGTGAGTGAGTTTAGTTTTACGTCGCACTCAGCAACATTCCAGCTACATGGCGGCGGTCTGTAAATAATCGAATCTGGACCAGACAATCCAGTGATCAACAGCATGAGTACTGATCTACGCAAATTGGATACGATGACATGTGTCAACCAGGTCACCGAGCCTGACCACCCGGTCCCGATAGTCGCCTCTTATGACAAGCATGGGTTGCTGAAGACCAATTCTAACCCGGATCTTCATGGGTTGTTTGTTAAACAGACATGGCTCTGAGAGGCTTTCTATCAAATAAGGATATACATACTGGCAATATTTTAGGACATAGTTTGTCTCATTACACAAGATAAACAAGCAATCAAGAAGCCATTTAACAAATAACATGGGTGTAGACGTTCATAATAATTACTCAACTGTTCATTTGTAGTGAAATGTTTAAGAGAATTCTCACATGACATATTTAGGCCATGTGGTACATAAGGTCCTCTAGTCTCTTGGTGTGACTTGATGACTACCTGTAACTCATCTGATTATAGATACAATAACTGTTCAATTGAGCATTATATTTCCAGTGAAGCACCCATGAAGAACAATGCAGTAATGTCCTGTTGGTGACCAGCTCTGATCTCAGACCGAGATAGCAGAGGGGAAATCCTCGGATCTCTGACCGGTCAGCTTGACAGCTCGAGGGCACCTGATATGGTTTCAGATTTGATATTCAACAAGACACCTGCTCTGGCCTCAAGTGAAGACGAGAAAGCACCAGATCTGATATCTCACGCAATTTACATAAGACCATCTTCTCTAAGCTGTGATCTGATCAGCTAGAGGGCATCTGTAATAAGACAAATTACACAAGCAAAATATTACACACAGCCATGCTAATGTTTTACCCCAGAAATTAAATTCTTCATGACAATCTGTTCAGTGTTACTAAGCTATTCTTCCCAGTGTTATCTAATAGGCAGAGAGTCCATACACAAAACTTCATCACACCCATACAAATCACAGTCTCACACAACAACACAACTAGCTCCCTATGTCTTCTCCTGGGAGGCCTCGCGAGCATTCTCAGCAAAGTTGGGAACAGGGAGTTGCTCAGGTGTTGCTGTTTTTTCAGGCACTGGAACTGCGACTGGAGCTGGCTTGACGCTCTTCTCTGGGGAGGAGTTCTGAGACTGCTCGGTGCTGGCGCTGTCATCCTCCATGGTTGGCCAGTTGGCAGGACTGTCACTCTTACTCAACCTATCGTTGAGAGCCTTCAGAGCCAATTGCCTGAAATAAAGGTTGGATATTAGTGAGTGTAACTTCGCTTCTGTTTAGATTCACAAAATTATGTCATATCAAGGTACCTCTTCTTGGCAGTAGAATATCCTTCCTCCTGTAGCTCTGCTCACACAATTTTAACAGTCCAGCTTCAGTCCTCTCACACAGTCACATCAGTACAACCGTCATCCTCACACAATCACATCAGTACAACCGTCATTCTCACACAATCACATCAGTACAACCGTCATCCTCACTATCACATCAGTACAACCATCATCCTCACACAATCACATCAGTACAACCATCCGCACACAATCACATCAGTACAACCATCCGCACACAATCACATCAGTACAACCATCCTCACACAATCACATCAGTACAACCATCATCCTCACAATCACATCAGTACAACCATCATCCTCACACGATCACATCAGTACAACCATCCTCACACAATCGCATCAGTACAACTGTCATCCTCACAATCACATCAGTACAACCATCATCCTCACACGATCACATCAGTACAACCATCATAACACAATCACATCAGTACAACAACTGTCCTCCTCTCACACAGTCACTAAGGTACAACCATCCACAGGCAAACTGTAGCAAATAGGGTTGCGCAACAGAGAGAAAAATTACCAGTCTTCCTATATGCAAGCGAAGCGAGCAAAGCTTGGCAACATACTTCCCTCGCTTCGGTTAAAAAAATATTTTATGTCAAAACAAAATATCGCAACCATCAAAGGCAGACGCCCAATTCCTCACAGGGTTGTGCTCTCAGAGTTACAACCTCATATATAATAATTACTCACGTAAAATATATTTTATTCAACAATTAAAGCGCCATTCATGGCATATAAAACCGCTCTTTGCTTCCATTACCCCTGCCAGCTTCTGCTTCAACGGAGTGAAGGAATAAGAATAAGCAGAAATTAAAAAGAAATATCATATTGCCTAATTTTACCATTAAACTGTTGAAGATTATTTATCTTATCTGCCGTCGTTATTGTTAGAATTTTTGTAACATTTATTCTGAAGAAAAAACACTTTTGACGTAGTTGGTGAATGAAAGAAAGAGGTAACTTTCCAAATGGCGGACATATGATTCAACAAGTATATTTAGATTTAAATCCCCTGTTCCTTCACTCTGTTGAACTGGAAGCTGGCAGGGGTAATGGAGGCGAAGAACGATTCAATATGCCATGAGTGGCTCTTAAAATGTTGAATAAAATATATTTTACGCGAGTAATTATTAAACATGAAGTTTGAAATCTGAGAGCAAAACCCTTTGAGGAAATGGGTGTCTACCTTTGATGGTGGCTCTATTTTGTTTTGACATTAAAGATATTTTTCAAACCAAAGCGAGGGAAGTATGTTGCCAACCTTTGCTTGCTTCACTTGCATATAGGAAGACTGGTCATTTTTCTCTCTGTTCCACAACCCTATTTGCTCTACAATTTGCCTGTGAACCATCTTACCCTTAAAATCACATCAGTACAACCATCCTCCACTCACAATCATATCATTACAATCGGTCTCCTCTCACACAACCCCATCAGTACAACTCACCTCCTTCTCTCAGCGTCCTGTGGGTCAGTCCCAGGGAGGCTAATGGTGATAGTTGACGGTGAGCTCACATCATATCGCCTCTGTGGTTTCTTACACAGCTTGATCTTCACCAATCCCATGAAGACGGTATTTGATAATATAGCTATCAGTGGTTGAACTTGTCGCGGAAAGAAGCTAAAAATAAACAAAGTTATTTTACAAGTATTGACAAGTGATAACATTCCATCTGAATTACTCATAATCAATAGCTGATCAATACCATAAAATGTACACACTTTTGAAAAGGCTGGCAGTTCTTGATAGTGTTATGAATTTGATTTGATTAATGATGAACACAAATCAATACTTATGATAATATAATGACACCATCCAAGCCCTAAATATATCACGGTGTACTTGAGCATAGATTTTGCTTTTCATAATGAGACAACAGAAATGTCTCTCATTATATATTAATCATACTTCAGCCTTGAGTGATATATACAGGGAATTAAACAGCACAATATGATTGCTATAAACTTGTACTTTTACTCTACTAGACTAAACGTGGCCCTTAGCATCACTTTTTTCAGTAAAGCTTATAATAGTTTTCCTACATGGACTGTTATTATTAATAATATTAACTGGGCTTACTAGACCAAACAGAACTTGAAAGACTTTGACTTTGGACAGCTGACAGCAACAGTGACAAAATCTTTCTCCATACCATCATACATCCTTTACGGCTGATGATTTAACAAGTTTATATGTGATAAAAATTACCTTGCAAACGTAAAGTTATCAGCCATGTCACCTCGGTTCCCATTGCTGTGTTTTTGGTAGAATCTCAGGTACACCCAAGACACAACTATCCCCCATCCGAACAAGATGGGATATGGTCCATCAAGCACATGAACCAGTTGCAGAATGATAGAGATGATAAATAGCAGAAGTGGAATGTGAGTGTTTCTCAGTTTGCCAAAAGGAGATGTAACTAAAATGTGATCTGGCATCACCTGTTTTACTGCCACAGAAAATCCAGCAATATAGCCAGCCAGTCCATGAATATTCACTGTGAACAAGATACGCTCGTCCTCGGTAACTAGGTAGACAAGCAAATAACACATAGCTGTGAGGATTCCAACAGCAACATTGACAATCAGGAAAAAGATGAGCATGTCCAAAGCACCCCACAAAGGCTCCAACAGCTTGCCACAAAGAATGACGACCGCGATATCGATGAGAACATCCCAGAAATGAAACTCGATGAAACAGTAGGTGAAAAACGAGTAAAAACTAAAATTCGGGGGCATTGCAAAGCCTGGATTTATGGTTATGAACGACACTACATATGTCAGAAATGAGAGAAGGTAGCCAAGTGTCACGGACACTGCTACGAATTTCACGACAACGCTGCTTTTTCCAAAAGCAGCTGACATTTGCTCTTTCAGGAAGGGAAGTTTGTTCTGTGCCATGGACGTCGCCATCTTGCATCGTGACGGTAACAATGATGACGTCAACATATGCCGAACTCCGCGACTCTCCACGTGCATTTGTTATGAAGATTACCTCCCTTTCTGTAGAGAACTAGCTGTCAGCATAGCCAGAGGAAAGTTTTTGGACACTGGCCAAGATGGCACCAATAAAACTTATTTTCATCTCAAAATGATGCAAACGAAATATGATATTTAAAACACTGACAAAAATAGTACAGGTTTTGCTCTTCCCTTTGTTTTATCACGGACACTGCTACTAATTTCACAAGGCTGCTTTTTCCAAAAGCAGCTGACATTTGCTCTTTCAGAAAGGGAAGTTTGTTCTGTGCCAAACTTAAGAAACTAACAATAAAAACAATAAAATAAAAATTTGAAAAATTAAAAATTAAAACTGTTACCGTTAAATATGTTTGGTATCTCTCTAATGTGTCAGTAGCTCTGCTGATGTAACAAAAATTCCCGAAAAGGCATTAAAGTATTATTTTATTCTATTCTATTCTATTCTATCCTGCCTTACATCTTATAAGCGAAGCAGGTTGTGTTGAGTTGAGGTTTACGTCGCATCGGCATTATTTCAACCATGTAGCGACGAGACCAGGTTTGCATGCGTATACATTTTAAGTACAAAGTTTAAATGAACTTCTCAAAATACATATTTATTCATTACATTAATTATTATTTACAAACAGAACAAATCACAAACAAGCAATGCGTCATACACATTACACTTACAGTTTATGATCCCTTTCAATTTCCTGTCAAAAATGGCCGCTCACGCGGGAAAACAGATTCTTCACATTTATCGCTTCATAATGTGAATACCTTGCAGAATATGCTTGATGGTGAACACCTCATCGTAAGAGATACACCAAGGAGGACCATCTCCACCCGTTTAAAGCAGATAGTCATGTGTAAACCGACTGTAGCCAGTACCACATCGTCGTAGAATTACTTCACGTCTTGACTGACAACCTGTTGGTTTCAATTCATGAAGTTTATTTCTTCCTATCTGGGTGTCCCGCCTCGTTTGTAGAGTGTAGATTTTGATAGTTGGTTTGAAATCACAATAGGGGATTCGCAGTGGAGATAACGGCAAGACCTGGCATCAGCTTTTGTGTTACCTGCTATGCCTAACCTTGTAACCAGCAAAGGACGATGTCATATTGGCCAGTAGAAATACCATTGTAAAGTTCTCAAATATCGAGGATGACAGGGTGACTCGAAATGACATTATGAAGTGCCCGAGGGCAAGACAATGAATCTGAGAAGATTATGCATTTGGGTGGTTTTCTTGTTTAATATTGGGTAAAGATAGTGAAAATGGAACAATTGTCCAGGCTAGCTATTCTCGAAACGTTCGTAACGCTAGGAACTTCTTAAGCCCATTCTTAACACATTGGCTACGAAAAATGTTAAGAATTCTTAGGGCTACGAACGTTTCGAGAATAAGGGCCCAGGATTCTTGAGAAGACTGTCTTGGATCTAATGACAGTGGCGCTGGCAACTTTGCCATCATCCTTGGGTTCGTCTGTAAAAATGGATCTGTGCATGGGTGTTATACTTCGAACGTAGCTGGTTGTATTCCTATTTGAACACCAAAGGATTTGTTTCGGAATTTTGAAGTTTGGCGAGAGTAGGATCCATCACTGCCTTTACCATCTTCCTGAATCTTGCCAATCACATTGCTGCCAAATGGGACAGAAAATTCAATGATATAAATAAATCAATTGGCTTTATCAAAAAGGACAAGATCAGGTTTGTTAGCTGGAATTCTTCTGAGGCTGTATATGGGCCTATTCCACAGAAGCTTGAAAGCATCATTTTTCCATGACGCCCAGGACATGTTCAGGGTCATACCATGGATGGACCTCAGAGTCAAAGCCACAGGCATGGCGGAGACGGTAGTAGAAGCTACGACATGCCATCGTGTCGTTTAAGATATGCTGTTTGTGCCAAGGAAGGGCATCCACTGACAAGGTGTTGGACAGTCTGTGTAAATTCCTTACATTATTATTATGTTTTACAGATTAAGATGAAAAGTACAGCAGAGAGGGTTCGGGTTATCCTGGCACAGTAAGGCTGGTAAGGCTCATCATCAGCTCAGGGCCCTCGCCCCCTCTACATGCAGCCCAGACAGCGAATGTGAATAGTGTATATTGAGTATTCAAACATGTGATAGGGCGGTAGTTTTGGGGATCAGTCAAGTCTCCTTTTTTGGGAAGGAGTATTGTTCTACCTTTGCAGAACCATGGAGGAACATCACCTGTGTCCACAAGAGAACTGAAACAGTGGAGTAATGGTGTTTGGACACAGGGGAATAGTTTCCAATACCGGTTTCGAATGCCACCAGGCCCTGGAGCTGTATTAGATTTGGACTTTTTGATAACACTTTTCAGGCAATCTGGTGAGATGTAACAGACAAACGACCTAGTTAGTTTCTCATGCATTGCATGGTCATAATCACGGACCCATGGTGCCTCAAGGTTACAGTCGCCGGGTACAGACCACAACTGTTTCCAGAACCTTTCATTGGCATCCATGGGAGACCGATTATCATGCTCACCATCACCGTTTGTTTTAAGTTGCCTGTAGAAGTGTTTTTCATTATTTCTAAAAAGTTTTGTTTGATGAATTTATATTTCTTTTCCCATTTTTTCTTTCTTTCAGTCCAAACCTTTATTTTTGCCTTTAGGGAATCGACAATTTAGAATCTTTTCTTTGGTTGTCTTATACTGTAATTATTATTTTCTCCAAATTTACTTTTGTTGTTTAGAAATGTGATTCCCTGATGATCTTAATTTCAAGGAACAGCTCTATCCAGGAAATGTATATTCTAGTTTCCGTCAGTTTTACTTGAAACCGTTTTTTCTTGGTGTACTGTTCTTAGTTCTTAGATGATTTTTCTTTGGAAACCGTGTAAAGTTCCTCCAAGGTTCGTGCGGCAGCATAGACACAGCAATTAACTTCATGTAATGAACAGTCCGCAGAAAGTTTCATAGAAATAATGTCATTTAATAAATTAATTTCATTTTTGGGAAAAGATTCACTTGTTTGTTTGATTGGCCTCCGTTTTTCAAAAGGTATGTCAGATATTTCATCATAAATAGAATGAAACAAAATATGTAAACAGGGTTTTCGGAAAGATCTGCAACTGAGGAAGAGGAAGAGTGAGGGTCAGAAATTTCGGGGCCAATTGGCTCTATACCAGAAGAGTTTCCATCAGGAAGAGGGAAAAGGTTGACGCGGACATCCATTAGAAGTTTTGGATCTGCTGCCACTTGAGCATTCTGCTCATGCAAAGGTTCCTGACGGGCTCCAGTAGTGGGTTCAACTGGCTCACGGGGCATGAGAATTTTAAGCCGCCGGAATTGATCTCGGAGATTTTGCTCAGTAAAGCATACATGGGCATGGCATTGTCCTAATGCAGATTAAGCGACTTGCCATTTATTCGTCGATTATCAGGACATCCGGTCGCTTTTGCACACTCATGTAGTGTGGAATTTAGATAGTTTGACCAAGATATTCTTGGTCGGGTTCTGTGCCTTCCCATGGGGCAAGTCCCATCACCGGTAAGATTGGTTTGACTACCGGAGGAAGGCCGACTGGGCTGCGGAAGTGAAAGATTGTACTCTTCTTGGCTGTTAGTAACCCAGTGAAAAAACAGCTTGGGGGAGGGGGTTGGGTAGGGGTTGGTGGTCCAGGGGGTGATGTACGTTTAGTTCAGGGAATATAATTCCGCTACCTAGGTCAACCACGGAGAGGCATACATCATCAGGCCGTATTATTATTGTTATTATTATCAATAATAATATTGAGTATTTATATAGCGCACATATCCATGCACTAGTGCATGCTCAAGGCGCTGGTATGTTTCCCCTCGATCATTGAATGTCAATCTAAATGGCACATCTTATTATCAATCTCAGCTCCCTGGGGATCATACAACTGTGGCTGCCACGAGGCGCACCGTGTTATTGCGGCTTTCCCATCCTTACGAGGTACCCATTCACAGCTGGGTGCACTGGGACACATTGTCGCAGTACTTTGTCCGAGTTTTACTGCACGTTGCTGTATCCGCAACTAGGTGTTTGCACGTATTCATATGGCCACCACCATATGAGTGCTCAGGGTTGTGTACTGTACACTATGGGTTGTGACAACAGTGAAAAAGTCTGCCCACAAAGTTGACTCCAACAATTAAGATATTCACTGTCCTGTCTCCTGAACATATTTCTTTCTTTTCAAAACTTAAAAATTCTGATCGATAAAAAGCATACTTCTGCAATTCCTATGCCCATTTTTGCATGCGGGTGCCTTTGGCAGTTGTGGCTAATGATAGATGATTACTAAAGACTGAACTAGCTCTTTAGGATATGAGATTTATCATTCCACTTGGTACTATATGTATCGTTTGAAAAGAGATCATGTCCAAACCGGCTCTTGCAAAGTAGCAGGTGCGTTCACCTGTTGAATTTTCTCGTGTGGTTTTGTATTCTTAATTGCCGAACTGTATAACATTATTTTTTAACGGTCCGTAGGCTTGTGTATGAATTACCTCCCCTATATATGCCGAACTGTACGATATCTTTTAACTCAACTCATCCAGTATTGTGGCTCCACTGTTTTCGTCCCAATATTTTTACAAAATATATTTATAATACATGCATAATCTTTGTTACAGAAATGTTAGGAAATATACCTGATACTTATCATATCTTTACTCAGTTTTCAATATTGTAATTTTGAGAAGAAAATTACATTTATTGAGGCATTAGGTGTTGGCAGGGTTAAGGTAAAATTTGAGCGCAAGCGCGGGGCGAGTTGATAGGAAGTAATCAAGCCTCTGCATATGGCGGTTCTTTCCCTCGAATAGTAAAACATTATGATATGATCGCACTAGATCAGCTAGGTTACTTTTATGCCTGTTAGGTAGTTATTAAACGGAGAAAGTATCACAGTTTTCCACATTGTAGTTGACATTGCTCCAATATAAGCAGGTAACCCA